TGAACCTATTTGGAATTGATTTGAAATCTAGAGACTTCCCATGTTAGGTTGAAAATCTCTTGAAATGTAGTGTGTTTAATTACCTTATGAGCATGCTACTAACTTGTTATAGAATTAGTACTTGTGGTTTCTAAAGATGGTAATTTGACTTAGCATGATATGTGATATCATTGTCTTGCATAACTTGTTTAAAATATATCTTGTGTAGGTATATAGCTTGTTAGAATATTACAATTGTTTACCTTGGAAGGTAGTTACTAAATTAGAACTTATTTAATATTTGTGGCTTAGGATGGTAACGTGGCTCAATTATTGTAAAATATTTTTGCTTTGTGTATAAATTGCATATTAAGGATATAACATGTCATTGCTATTTAGACTTGAATTCTAGGACAGGGTTTGTGTGGATTCAACCTTATTTGTGCATGGAATGTGGTAACTGGCATTTGGTTTTGTATAAGTTTTGAACTTATTGATTTTGGAAAAGTTGTGAGGGCATAATTTATGTGATGGATAAGGTTTGGCTCTAATACGTGGACAAGTGTCATCTAAGTCAGAAGTGCGCACTAGGTGATACCTTATGGGTCGTAATTACCTAAAAATACCTGCCTGGTCTAGCAACCGCATGCCCTAGTCTTTCCACTATTTGATTTCGCATTTAATTTCAAGTTGTTAATCATGAATTACTTGTAGGTTGAGAATTGATGCTTGCTTTGGATATTTGAATCCTATTTAGTATACTTGAACTTGTATTCTTGCTCCGTGAGTTTAAATTTCATTTTGTATGCTTGTGCCGTGTATACTTATTTTAAGTGTATTTCTTTTAGCTTAGTATACTTGTGTTCATATACTTGATTTACGAGATTTTCATATAAAATGTATACTTGTGTAAATATGCTTAGACATTGCATGACTTGTCTTAATATGGTTTAGTATACTTGGAAATGTATGTTTGTATGTTGTATAACATGTTTTAACATTGTTTAGTATATTTGAACATGTATACTTGTATGTCGTTGTTCACTTTAAATTGCATGAGTAGCCTAGGATGCTCCCTGAGTCTCATTTTGACATAGACGTTAAGTGGTATGAGCCCATTTGACATGTTTCACCTTAAGGTGATAATTTTGTAAAATGCGAGGTCGATGCATGCTCATTTCCTACGAGTAACTTTATGTTACTCACCCCGAAGTTACTGGGGATTTGTTTCAGGTACGAAGGCTTGGCTCGTGATGCTCATCATTCCTTGGATGACTTGTAACTTTTAAGTTTCCATTTTATGCAAATGTTAGCATGAAATGTCATTTTGTAGCCTTATATGTCAAAACTTGTATCCTTGATTCCATATATGTAATGCGTACATAAGTACACCCTTGGTAATGTATTTGACTTGTATGAGATAAGGTCGGAGGCCAATGACATTTATATTGCATCTTATGAAATTCTTGACTTCATGAAATATTATGAAAATATTGAAAAATCACAAGTCATTATTTCACCATGCTTGCATCGGGTGTGGGAATTCCGTTTTTATTCTTTCATAGAGTCTCATTAATTATGTCTGAAGTGTGACCAAGGGTCAAACGGTAATTTGACTCCATTTCATATTTTTGGATTTCAAAATTTTCATTTCAAGTCCATTTTTATCATTTTTGGCCGCCGGGGGGTTGGATTTTGAGTCGGGGCTTCTCGGGAGCCGCGGACCATTCCCGCGCGCTTAGAATCATTTATTATACTTGCGTGCACATTCATTTCAACCTAGAAATACATTTAGGGTCAAATGCATACTTGGTGCAAAGTTGCATTTTTTTTAGTTTTTAAGTCTCTACTGATCTAAGGGCATTTTGGCCATTTCACAGTATTTTTTATTTATTTATTTTTTTTTTCCATTTTCTCCTGCATTGCCAGGTAGAAAATTTGATTTCAGGAGGGGTTTCTTTTTCATCTTTTTCCAGAAAATTCGTTTGATAGCCCGTTTCTGTTCTCAGATCAGGACAGTTACCGTAGCAGCTTTTGGCCCTCTTGACCTCTTCTGATCTAGGAGCATTTTAGGTGTTTCACAGTGAGTTTTTTTTCATTTCCTTCCTCGATGTTGGGTAGAAAATTCGATTTTAGGTAGGGTTTCTTCTTCGTGTTTTTTTAAAAAAATTCTTTTCGGACCTCGTTTCGGCTCTCAGTTCTGGCTGATTTTTTTTTCTTCTTTTCTAGCATGTCATGGTGCTCGTGGGGTGCTCGTCTCGACGTCGTGACGTCGACTTTTGTTTTCGCTCGTTCTCTTTCGTCCGAACTCCAAATCGAGTGAACTTTTTTTTGAACTTGACTAATTTTTCACTATCTTTCCAACGGTGTACTCAGTTGCACCCGGATCTTCCTAAATAATTACCAGTTTACCCTTTTAGCCTTAAGTGCTCTTTTTTCTTCGTCATACAATTTCTCCTTAGTCCGGACTCCGAATCATGCGATTCTTGAGTCCATCTTGATTAGTTTTTCATTTTCTTTCCAGCAGTGTGCTTGGTGGCATCCAAATCCATAGTTTCAAAAATAACTATTTTGCCTCAGGGCTATTTTTGCTCAGTTTTTCTTACTTTCTGCTACTTTTTTTGAGTTTCGTGACTTCATGGGAAGTCATGGATGTGTTTCGGGAATGATATACATTCTAGGGACGTCATTTCTATGTAAAATGACTATTTTGCCTTTGGGGGCTTAATTGTTATTTTTCTGATATTTTGCTTTCGCATCAGTTCTCATTGAGTTCCGCGACCTTATGGAAGGTCATCAAAGTGTTTTAGAGGTGTGTTGTGCTTTGTGAGACCGTTGTCTTGTTTCTTACTTCTGCATTCTGAATTCGTTATCGGATATACGTTCGGTTCATCATAGGATGCGTTGGCCTAAAAACCAGGGCTGTCACAAGAGGTTCGGGAAACAACCTACTATATCATGGCCATGAACCAACATAACAGAGGCCTTGAAACTCTAGAACGGATGAAACATAAACATGGCCCTCTCAAGAGTGATTAACGTTGGCGGCCAGAGGTGCCCAAAAAGACGTGGATAAGTAGCCAGGATACGTCGCCGACACCAATGCAACAAAGACAAATATGGTCTCGGCGACTTTGCATCTCCAGAATCAACAACCTCCCCAGACAAACATCGCCGATCATTGCGTTGAATGAAAAATCCATAGGAAGAGGAAAAGCAAAGCAAATAGAAAACCCTAAAAACAACAAACCCTAGGAAACACAACACAATAAGCAGAAATACAAAAGAAAAAGGCCCAATACCCGAATCAAAAGGGAAGAACAACAAGGATTGGGTCTCAATTCCTCCATTGCGCAAAATCCCCGACTTTAAATCCCACAACTGTCGTGTGCCCTACTGGCCGAACAAACCAAAAGGGAGACAGAGATGAGAGAAGGATGAATCCATCTCCATCACGCAAGATCAAAAAAGAAATCGAGCCCTAAAGCAGTGGAATGGACAAAGGCTAAGGAAGGAGAAAAGAAAAGAGCGATAAAACACAACAGAAAAAAGAGAGATCTGGATCACTCTAACATGTAGAGGACACCTATTGGAAGGAGGACTCATACAAAGAGGAGAGGTTCCATGACCAGACGGGTTAATTCCATTGCAATTTTCGGGTGCATGACTCTGTTTGTTACTTAACTTGCCAGAATATGAAAACTTATTGAAAACACAAAATAAATAAATAAATAAATAAATATATATATATATATATATATATATATATACACACACACATACTTATATGATCATAATCATAATATCGAAAGCACAATATAATTGTAATAATAATCATAATATAGAAGGCATAATTTAATTCTAATCACAGATTGTATTGTGTGTCCTTACAAAACAAAACAAAAAAAAAAAAGAAAAAGAAAAAGAAAAAGAAGAAAAAAAATTCTAAATATGTATAGCCTCTGCTCTTTTCAATGTATATATATTTTAATTCTCAACCGTCGAACACCAAATCCTGTCATATTAGTAGGCTCATAGCATTAATACATGTATGATCCTAGGACACTTACGTAGTTATGTACACAAAGTTCACTTTAAATGTTAGCGCCCATAGGCGTACTTTAGCGTTGCACTTTAATCCCCTGTACAGTCATTTATTAAAACCGTGTGCGGGGTAACCCATCCGCCAAAAACACGCGCTCTCTCTCTCTCTCCCTATTAAATTTAACATCTTTCCCCCTTTTCCCTCTAAAAACACACTTTTCAACACACAGAGAAATTGAAAAAAAGCTTTGGAGCGCAATGGGAGACTCATCTTCGGCGCCGGAGGAGGTGACAATAGCAGTGTGGCCTGACGGTCTGCGTCGCAGTCGGCGGTGCAAAGTTCGTAGGATCAACGAGAAGATGTTTTGCGAAAACAACTCTCTGCAGAAATCCAAACAGAAGTCCACCGCTTCTGGTTCTAGGCTTCCCAAAGGCACAACCACAAAGAACCACTGCACAGGTGGCGGTGACGGTGGTGGTTATTCCGGAAATAAGCCCAAACAACCAGGGCTTTTCTCGACATCAAACAGCAAGAAACAGAGAAAGAGAAGAAAAGAAGAGCCTGACGATGATGAGGTGATTCCAACGAAGAAGAAGACGAAGCGTAGTCTGAAAATCGTGGACGAGGAAGATAAGGTAAACATTAAAGGAAAAGAGGAACAAAAAATCAAAAAACCATCGTCTGATAACAAGAAGAAAACGAGAATGGCCAATTTGGAAAAAAGAGGCAAAAAGAGTGTCAAAATTGAGTCATTGTCACTGGATGGGAAAAAGAAGGTCGTGCGGCTTGGAGAGAAGGCTATCGATCCGAGGAGAAGGATTTTTGTTACCCATGTAAGCTTTATGTTCTTTCTAAGTTTCTTTTCCTTTTCCTATTCCTCTTCTATTTTTCTCCCAAAATTAAAATTTTTTTTTTTAACCAAAGCTGACACACTCTTCTTATATATATATATATATTTACAGCCGAGTGGAGATGACTGTAATATGTGCCATCAATGCCAGAGGAGTGATAAGGAGAAGGTGGTGCGGTGCCGCTGTCGCAAACGTTTTTGTGTTCCATGCATACAGAGATGGTAACATTTGAAAAAAAAAAACATATCTAAATTACACATGTCAAAGGAAATGTTACTTTTCTCCCTGAATAATTTGTTCTATTCCCATGATGAAATGACTTTAAGATTCATTTAATCTACTAATTTGTTATAAACCTTATTTTGATATAATTGAGGTTCCTAAATGATACATTGTTGTTAAATGAGTACTATGGCCGTTGCCAAGAATTTTTATAGCATATGAGTTCATTTATTGATTGCTAATTTCTATATATATTTATGTATTTATATATATTTTTTCCTAGTTTATATTTCTGTATATTTAGGTGGCTTTCAGGCTGCATCTTTTTTTTTTTCCTCCTCTCTCGTTGTTAATCTTGGTGTTATCCTGTAAAACAATGAGGTGTGATCGGTTAATGTAGTGATTGTTATTCTTCCTAGTAATTTGACTATCATATGTTTTATTTTTATTTTTTTTAGACTTTATTGATTTATTGCTTAAGTGATTCACAGGATGTGGATGTCAAGGAACGTTTTTCCAATTGTGCTTAACTTCGTTCATTTCTGATTTTTTCTTTTGTCTTTTTTAAAGCCATGTCAACTCTATTTCTCACAATAAATGTGTACCAAACACTTAGTGCTCATTAACCAATGCATTAGCACTTTTCCCCCCTCTTTTCATTGTAAAATTTAGGTACCCGAGACTGTCAGAGGAAGCAATAGCGGAGACTTGCCCATACTGTCGTGGGAACTGCAACTGCAAAGCTTGTTTACGTAGAAATGATATAATCAAGGTTGGTAATGGCAGCTATGGTATTTAGCCTTTTCACCTCTGCATAAACTACATTATGGTATAGCTTGTGACATCTGGTGCATTTCTCATAATTTAACGCAGGATAACAAATATTCAGGGTCGCCAGAAAGTAAGGATGAAAAGATTCAGCACTTTAAATATCTTGTACATGCACTCTATCCATTCCTGGAGCAATTCGATCATGACCAAACGAGGGAAAAGAAGATTGAGGCTGAGATTCAAGGTATGAACTGCATATTGTTGCTAGTTAGCATTCAGGATAAGAAAGTAACATTAAGTCAGAGATAAAGATGATATGTGATGAATCAAGGCTTGGAAGGATGGAGAAGGTTATTAAAGCACATTTTTTTACATGTTTACACAAATAAAATAACTTTGCAGAATTGAACCGGTAGCCCACCATCTATGGCATTAAGTTGACACTGCTCTGCAGTCATACATGCGGTGGCTTATGCAACTAAAACAGTTTTTCATTTTCTTAATAATTTGGCAATACATAATGGAATTTTTACAGGGTTACCACCATCAGAGGTAGAGATACAGCAGGCAGGTTGTTATAACGACGAACGTGTGCACTGGTATGGTGCTTTTCTCGAATGATTTATGATTTCTTTTGTTTTGAAATATGGGTTGTGACAAAGATTTGATGATACCACATGTTCTATTGCAGCAACAATTGCAGAACCTCTATAGTTGATTTTCATAGAAGCTGTCCGAATTGTTCCTATGATCTCTGCCTGACTTGTTGCTGGGAAATTCGGAACGGTTGCTTGCGAGGAGGTGTCATACCTTGCCCACCAAAGGAAATGGGTGGTTGTGGTCATGATCTTTTGGAGCTCAAGTGTATGTTTCCAGAAAGCTGGGTCTCAGAGTTGCAGAAGAAAGTAAAAAAAATAGTTAAAACCTATGAACTTGCAGATTTGAACAAAATTTCTACGCAACAATGCTCATGTTTTAAATCAAATGGCAAGATCGACATTGGCAATGGTAAACTGCGGAAATCTGCTTCTAGAAAAGATTCTGAAGACAACTATCTGTACTGTCCTTCGGCAAGTGATATCCGGCAGGGGGATCTGGAGCACTTCCAGAGACATTGGATCAGGGGAGAGCCAGTCATTGTTAGCAATGTTCATGAATTTACATCTGGACTGAGTTGGGAACCAATGGTTATGTGGCGCGCATTCCGTGAGATTAAATATACCAAGGGTTCCTCAGATTTGGCAGTGAAGGCAACAGATTGCCTTGATTGCTGTGAGGTCAGTACTTCCAAGATATCACTTTGTATTGTTCATTTTGGTATTGTTATGCTGTTATTGTGACCATTACTCTAGATGTCTCTGTTCATTATGTTTTTGTACTTATGATGTAATGATTTCAACTATGATGCAAGTTCTTGCAAGTTACTGAAGTCTGAACCAACTATTAGACTCTAAGACACCTGGTTTATCCATGTCTGGAGCTGAGTGTGTCTCAAGCTGATCAATTGGGTAGCATACCGAATCACAAAATTTATAGAAGATTCAATTTTCCATAAAATTGAGTGAAATCAGTCATTTTGCAATGTGAAGTTGAGATACTACAAGAATAAAACCCTTCTACCAGCATTTTACTTCCAATTAAATGAGTTTTTAGGTTAAGTCCGGCCTTCTGCTATTGTCTAATTGTAATCTGCAGCTTTTAGTGTTGAAGAAAAAGTCATGGAAAACGGAAGATTATATAGTTTCATGTAATTCTTGATTTCTTCAGATGCTAGAAAGATTTTACTTAAGTTCAAAATCTGACTATAGAAATTTACTAAATTTTATTTCGTTTAGAAGTTCCTGCGATAAAATTGTGGCAGAAACCAACACATAAATTTGATACTTGGGAAATACATGATAAACCTGATCCAGATTTATGTAATTTCGTACATTATTGCACCAACGTGTCTAGAGAGTGCAGGAAAATTTTTACAATTAAAGAACTTCTCTTTCATTAGTTATAGGCATTTAAAATAAAATAGTTCACAAATATACTATAAGCTATGGAACTTTTGCACCTAAATTTTACAACCCTTCATACTTAAATTCCAAAAATTATAACAAGTCGAAATTCAGATTACACATGACAGAGTATACCAAATTCCCCTGAAACTTAGGCATTTAAATCAAGCAACCACATACATCAGAGTCAAGGTGTTTCCATTCTTCCTTAAATCTTTTTCCTAAGATGAATTTGGAGATGAATTTGCTCAGTAACACCATTCATAAATCTATCGCATTCTAATATGCACGAAAGACAAAAGCAGGTGAATCAAGGTTAATGAGTAAGATGCCTGCCTTTTCTATGTTATTAGTAAAACGCTAACGAGTCCCTGCCTGCTTATTTAGAAGTTCATTCCCTTGTGACCTTCGGACTGACTCCTCGGTCTTCAACAGCCGAAATGCACAGGTATTCATTAACAACAGGCATCAGTTTTTTTTTTTTTTTTTGAACTTTCAGTGTCCAACCTCTTTTCTTCAAGAAACAGTTCTTTTCTAATAAGAAGAGGCATTAACAAAATAGCCTGATCGGTTTCCCAAGGAGATAACCACTTATAGTAATATACGCCATAAATTCAAACTAAAAACTGTAACTTAAAGAAATATCTTACCCTACTTATCATATAAACCTTTGTAACCCTTACTCAGGCATAAAGCATAAATGTTTTGTAGGACTCACTTAAGGGAAATTTATCAATCACATCACGAAACCACATATAAGTCAGAATTTAACATAAAATAAGATTAATTTAAAGGACAGTTATTCATAATAAACAAACCATAAGAAATTCCTAATTTAGATTCAAGAATAGTAAAATTCTATACCTTATGACGTTGCCTCGCGAAGACTTAATATTATTTTTTCCCCCTTATTCTTTTTCTCTTTCTTTTCTTTTTATAGTAAAATAAGATACATGTTTGAACAGTCTAGTGTGAATAGATAGTCTTGGAAACTTTTATTTTTCACTAAATTGTGAATGCATTAAATGTTGTCTTGTTTTCTGAAATAATGCTTTTTCTCTTGGCCATACTCTATAATGTCATTCGGCTTGGTTTTGAATTTATTTTCACTTGGTATTTTTGTCTTCTTGATTTAGCAAGCACAATGAAAAATGATTATCATGATTATGACTGGTGACCTTACTCCTTAATTAGTTCAAATTTACACTATCCAAGTTGATTTTAAAACTATATCAGGCAGGTTTTGAGCAAAATTTTCAGGCTCAGATGAGTGAATCTTGGCAGTTTTGGTTAAGCGCGCTCATTTTTTCGAGGAATTATTGAAGTTTAAACTGAAATCTGAATCAAAGCTTAGTTAAGGACCCGCAAACTGCAAAGGCTTACTTGTAATTAAACTCATATCTCACTGTTCCACATCTGCAGTTATTGTGTGTTTACATATTACTTGTATAAATGTAAACATGCATGCGTGATGAATGTGTATTATGTACATAGTTATATTGACACTGTTTCAGTATGATAGGAATGTGGGAGAGAATATAAGTAACAAATGAAAATGTTTTGGATAATAACCGTTTTAAACAAGTGGTTTCATTAGGTCCCTTTTGGGGATAAAATTGATTGTAAAACTGGAATGCTACCTTGAAGAAATAAGATGCTTGACTCGTCATTATTGTCTAAATGGCCTATGGTCATCTGGATGCTGCAATCCATTATGTAACTTTGATTTTAAATAAGTATGCACATTAATGACTTTCTGTTTGCATGTAAACATATATGCATAAAATTTGACATTCATTCCAAGTGTTTTGGCAAGACAAAAGTGAAAAGGGTTTGATGTGGTTTACCTAATACTCTAGGCAGTCAGGATAAGGGCTTGATCTACTTTATTGGGATTGGTTTATGTAATTATGGATAATAACTGATCTGTTGTAGGTTTAGAAGTCGTAATGCTTGCATCATATAATGTTGGTTGCATTAAGTTTCCCTCTCTTTTCTGTTTCTTCAATATTTGTTTTTAGGTATAATGGGTAATATCATAACTCGCCCACTTCCATTTATTTGTTTCATATTTTATTTGTCCTAGTTGATTGATCTTACACTAATGTTTTCTTATTTTGTCTTGTGCTGTGCAGGTTGAGATAAATATTCACCAATTTTTTACAGGGTACTCCGAAGGTAGATCACACAGAAACTCTTGGCCTGAGATGCTCAAACTGAAAGATTGGCCGCCATCTAACTTATTTGAGGAGCGCTTACCACGCCATGGTGCAGAATTTGTCAGTGCCTTGCCATATTTGGAATACACACATCCCTGTTCTGGTATACTTAATGTTGCCTCAAAGTTGCCTACTGATTCACTAAAGCCAGACCTTGGTCCTAAAACATATATAGCATATGGATTTTCTGAAGAGCTAGGACGCGGAGATTCTGTGACAAAGCTTCACTGTGACATGTCAGATGCGGTATGATTTGTTTAATTGACTTCAATACAGCTTACTGCCTTTTCATGGGAAAATAAAACCTGTTGGTTGGTCAAGAAGTTAATTCCCAAGCCTGAACATTTTTTACTATAATTATTAATCAATTCTGTAACAGCAGTATCCATGACATTTAAGTCATGTTTCTTTAACCAAATAACAGAATTAATTTCTATGTGATGTCAAGGCACTGAGATCTTATAAAGTTACATACAAGTAGATTCGATGGTCTAGGCTAGGCCATATTCTCATCACTTTTATGTTCTTCTTCCATAAGCAAAGGACACATTTCCATGAAACAGAAGAAGTAATTCCTTTTGGTGAAAAACAGGAATAGTATTTAAGAAGTTCCATGCATTGAAAAGTTGTGAAATTCTTGAAAACTAAAATGGAATGAAGTAACTAAAAATGATTGTAAAACATTAAATATTAGAGGAGACATGGTGTATAATAGAATAGAATGGAAAAGAGAATCATGGTCCGTGCCTTTATGTTAACATGTATCAGTATACTGGTTTTAATAACGTGTTAAATATCATCCTTTTTCATTAGTTGTCGTTATACTTTCCAGGTGAATGTGTTGATGCACACTGCAGAAGTGACCTATGCACCTTGGCAGCTTTCAAAGATTAAAAAATTGCAAAAAAAACATTCTGCCCAAGACCAAGAAGAACTTTTTGGTATAGTTCATATAGATAATCAAGAGGCTGAGAATCATGTCCCAGAATCCAATGGGAAGTTCAAATCTGAGCGAGCTAACCCTAGTTCATGTGGTGAAGATTATTGTGCCGAGGTTGTTAAAACTAAAGAAGACAAGGGGAAAGATGCTGACATTTTGGGTAGAAATGGAAATAATGAAATGCAAGACATCGTGTTTGATGAAACAGATCAAGTTTCTAGTTTGCCTTCAGAGAAGAAGACAAAGAACAGGCAGGGGAGAGGAGTTGGGCGAGGCAGTAAGAGGAACAGAGGATATATGCATAATAGATTGGATGTTGACTCTAAAGATTTGTTAACAGAGACTGGTAATGGTATTGAATCTCAGAATGAAGAGGGTACTAGAAATGAGGAAAATAATAGGAGAGTAGGACAGATTGATACTATTCTCTCCGATCGTCATTGTTTGACAACTGATGTCCACCAGCAAGGAGAGTTTTCTGGTGGTCCAAATGCAGTTTCTGAAAACAGATTGCATGGGTTGGAGACAGCAGAGGGAGGTGCTGTTTGGGACATTTTCCGTCGACCAGATGTTCCCAAGCTGCAGGAATATCTTAGAAAGCACCACAGGGAATTTAGGCACATCTGTTGTTGTCCAGTAGAGCAGGTAACCATAATTCCATCATGTAGCATATGCATTGGATAATATTTTTATTGCAATGTAAAGTAACAATAGGTTTTGTATTATGGACGTTATAAACTGCCATCTGGTGGAGATATATGCAGAGAAATCTGTATTTGCTTGTTCAGTGATTCTCCTATTGCAGAAAAAATAGTTGCATCTGAATGTAGGCACACCTTACTTGTTATTATGATTTTTTTTTTTTTCCTTGATAATGTATAATATACTGTCAATTATATTATGAGTCCTCTAAACAAGCAGGCTCTGTTCAGCTCGTGAACATGTTGGTATGACGGAAGCTATGTAGTTTTATACAAGTTCAATGGCTATTTGTTTTCTGAGAAACATGTTTGGTGTGTGATACAAGTAAATTTGTTTTGCAGCTGACATCATGTTTGTCTTAATTATCAACTTTGATTTTGACGTTCTATTTGAAAATTAAAATACTTGAATTTGGCAACAAGAAAATTACGCTTATAACAAAATTACCTTTTTTTTATAGCTTTGAGTTGCTCACCGAGCCGAGATTTGAGTTCCAAAGTGTAGCATTAACTTATGTGCCAAGCTTGAACAGACTTATACTCGCTCAGCTTGGCTTCTTTACTGTCCAACTTACTCAGATCATGTTGTGTTACAAGAAGAAAACCACTCAACTTAAGCATAACTTCAATATATGTTTATTTATTTATTTAATTAGAGGAAATTAGTTTTTGTAAACTTAGTTTTATCTTTTCCCTTTACCTTAAATCGGTCATATGGCTCATGTTTATTATTTACACAAGGTTAAATTCCCACTGTGTGCAACATCCCATTTTAAAAAGTTTACTTGATAACAGTTGAGGGTGCATCATTGTAGTTCTATCTTTCAATGAAATGGTGATAGTTTATAAAAGTTTTGCATCATAATTTATATTTATCTAATTTATAGGTGGTTGACTCTATTCATGATCAGACTTTCTACCTTAATTTGTATCATAAAAGGAAGCTCAAAGAGGAATTCGGTTAGTTGTTTATCAAAACTTGGTTGGTCTTTGTGCTTTGTTTCTTTTCACTATTATTTGAGCAATAATTCACTTGAATGCTTAATGCAGGAGTTGAACCTTGGACATTTGTGCAAGAACTTGGAGAGGCTGTCTTTATACCTGCAGGATGTCCTCATCAAGTTAGAAATCTTAAGGTAAGCCAGTCATAGATTTTTTTTTTTAGTTCATGCATTAGTCCATGAAACCTTTGTTTAGGATTCGGGGACTATATTACAATCTGCGATCTTTATATGACTAGTGAGAACATTTATTATCCTATAAGTATTGGCCTTGAACGTATTTATACATTTTGACCACAAGTGGCTCTTTCAAGCATGTAAATATGCCATCAAGGTGACTTTTTTTAAACATTTATTCAATTTAAAGGAGTCTTTCCAGAACACAACTTTTAGAACCTTCTCAGTTTAATGCTCCCTGGCTTGTTTCACGATTTCCTAAATGAGAGCATTTAGATGCCTCTCCATTCCGAGTCTTCTGACAAAGATCCCTATATACCCCGTGGCTGTATCAGCAAGAACTAAACATTTAATGAGTTGAATATGTTTTAGTTGAATCAATTGACAAAGAAAAATTCTGCAAAAGACCGCAATAATGTTTGCTTATATAATCACACTGTATATAAAACCAGAATCTTCTGTGCTTGCTTAGGCATGGATTGTCATGTCAGTGTTTCTATTACTTCTTGTTGTCATTATTCTTCAAAGTGTTTGCCTTAATGTTATTTCTTAAATTCCTCTAACATTTAGCATATGAGATACTTGTTGCCACAGCAACTGCACGGTTTTCTCCACAAATTTTGTGCCTAGAAAAGAGTTGTATGTCATTTACTTCAAAAAATATACTTAGAAGAGCAAATGTATTATTCAATAGTGTTACAACACCTAGAAGCTATCAATTATCATTGTGTTCAACAGTTTACTTACAAATTGAAACCCAATCTTACGTAACTATATGTGGTAAATATGTTTGAAGTCATGAACATACGTAGTCAAGTTCTCCTGTCCTGATGCTTATATTTCAATTCTTACTGGCACATGAATCTTTATCTCTAAATACATATTTACTCTTGATACCAACGGGCCAGTGGCCTAGCGGTATTGGCATCTTACCTCCCAAAGGGAGGTCAGGGGTTCAAGTCTCAGAAGAGACGTGTGTGTGAGTCCAACTAGGAAAAAAAAATAATAATAAAATATTTACTCTTGATAAGTAGGTATCTAGTCATTGACTGTCAAAAGTCATGAGCATGCATAGTCAAGAATCTTTGAGGGTGTGGAGATGGCCATTACTAGCACTCTGCAACTTTCACTAGAACTTTCTTTCACCAGAACTTTTTATTGAACCTGGTTGTCCATTTGATATTACCCCTATAGTATTCAATTGTTAATTTTACATGTAGGCTATGCAACAAAGGAATTATTGTAAATATGTGATGTAGGAAAAGAAAATCAATCCATTTTATGAACTGAAAACTGTTTAAATCAGGAAGGAACAAGGAAAAATATACATGCATGCGTGGTTACGTACACAAGCTCTTTATATATTCTGTAGCCTACCAGACACCAGTTGATTTATGTTAATTTTGCTGGGCTTTCTTGAACTTGGTTTCTTATAGCCTCTAAAGTTTCTAATAGAAGGGACAGGATTTGTGTTAGGAAATTGGACTAGTTTTTCCTTGTTTCTGGTGTATTTTCTTTGACATTTAAAGATTTTCTTGGGAAATGAATATGTAAATTTGATGATCTAATTAAACAAAACTGTAGAACAACTCATTGTTAGATTTCATTTTGGCAATGTGTGCTAGAACTGTTCTCTATGAGTTACATCTATTCTTCTTCTTCTTTTTTTCCCCTTTTCCTCTCTCTTGGGAGGGGAGGGGAGGGGGGGATGAGAGGTAGGTTATTTTCATTTTGGATTTTGTCATTCCGTGATCTTATTTGTATGACTCTTTTAAAACTTTCTTCTTTATGTCCTCTGCAGTCGTGTATTAAGGTTGCTCTTGACTTTGTTTCACCTGAAAACATCGGTGAGTGCATTCGTTTGACTGAGGAATTTCGTATTCTTCCTGAGAATCATAGAGCCAAGGAAGACAAACTAGAGGTACATTGTCTTGTTTCCTGACTAATATTATACTTGCATAAAGGTTTTATCTTTCTACTACCTTTCTTTTCCTCCTTGGGGTGGATGGGACAACGTGACACATCTAGAGGTTTGGTGGATTTTGATTGTAAATTTTTTTCCCCAATACATTATATAGAGAATCCTCAAGACACTTAGAATTACTTATAGCTTCTAAGTTAAGTGTTTCACCTTGTTCCCGACCATCATTAACTAACACAGGCTGTCTCCATAAATTGTGCTTTACCTTACTCATCTGCTTGCCTAAAGCATTCATCAAACTTCCCAACCTTAAAATCCTTGGTGTGCCTCTCAAGATACCTGAGTTACAGGCTTCTCAGCTGCTATTTGCTACCTCTTTCCATATATTGTAGCATACAGGATTAACCTTTTATGTCCCAATTATACGGTAGCTACTTTTTTGTATTGCTGCCTTAAAATTTTATGCTTGCATAAAGCAGGTGCTGCAATGGCAAATTTGCATTTTAATTTGATTAAAAGATTCTTTCTAAACGAAGACATTGCAATTTGTAATAGATGGTTGTTAGATTAGGTCAAGACGGTCAATAACTTGTTTGCTGGTGTAAGCTTTGAACCAAATCCTCTGTTTGTAGCCTATCCAACCAAGAATGAACTTTGTGCAACTTTTGGAGCAATGTGCTTAATTGCCTTGTATATTATAACTTTTAAATGCTGGCCATTTCACTTCTTGAATAGCTTTTGGCATATGCATTGTGATAATCTCATACCTGCTCTGCATTTTTGCTTGGTGCAGGTAAAAAAGATGTCTCTCCACGCATTAAGTAAAGCTGTGGATGATTTGGAGAAGCTTACACGGTGAGTGTAAGCTTACTTGATTTCTTTCTTGGTGCATTTCCTTATTTCAATTTCCTTTTCCCTTGTGTTTTGCTTGCTCTGGTATTTCCCCAACTTTCATAGCCTTCAACATACCTCTATGCAGCATAAATCCAAATTTGTTGTTTGAATTTCAATATCATAAATAAGAAACTTGTAGTAAGTATATTGATGAGAAATAATTTTTTACCATTTATATCAATTTTGTTTGTTATTATAGCCCTCCCTGTTAGTATCCTATCTTCTCAAAATTTGCTATATTATTATTTCCTTGTAATTATTAGTATCACATATCCTTGTCCATGCTTCATAGATATAGAAAAGACTAAATTTACATTAAAATGGCTGTGTGATAGATAAAATTTAAATCAATTTATCATGGGATGAGATATAATTGTTAGAGCAACACGAGCTAGTTTACTTTTTTCTTTTTCTGCTGCAGAGTTTTGTATTTCTCCTTTTAGTTTGCATAAGGTGTAACAAATGCACATTCCACTTAATCATGGAACCAATATGTTTTGACACAAGTACAACATTAATATCCATATGCTCACAAGTACAACATTACATGGAAATGTTAAAACCACAACAGTCTTGAGAAAAGAATTTGTTACCTGCTGATTTACCAACTGAGAGGGTCCTACAATTTCCACCGGTAACAGTTTTGAGAAATTTTTGCATGCTCATAAGGATAGTCGTACTTCCTAATATTTTCAAGGGAGCCCAGCTCTCTTCTGGCCCTAACCAGCTATACTTTTGCGTCCTTGTTTAGGAAGAGTCTCTTTAACTTGTTCCTCATTTGCTTGGGGTTGGGCTGTGTCACTAACAGGCCTATGCTGTGGGGTCAAAATTCTAGTGTAGCCCAGATACATGATCCTGGTACACTTAAAGTGTTAAAATTTAGGTATATTGGCAACTGAGAGAAAAATCCCAAGACATGGTCATGAACTTGCAACGCTGTCAACTTGTAGGCTATCAATGAGTCAGACCAATGATTTTCATCTGTACCGATGGCGATCAACATGTGCTTCCTCTCTAGCGAGCCTACAATCCATTTGGCATGACACATGTTCTTTGTCCTGATATGTGTCAACTCCAACAACTTCACGCAATGACACAGGTGAGTCTACCCAAAACACTAATCTCTTACAGCCGGAATCCCACTATCAGTTCCATCATATTCCTTTGGCACCGGATAACTAACACGTGATACCTGAAAACCAGTTATGTTGTACCCAGTGAATCAAGTGACACATGTGTTGCCCAAGGATTGACTCTAGAGGGGGGGTGAATAGAGTCAATGGCCAATTTTCGCAATTTAGATTTACAATTTCTAATCAACCACTTAAGCAATTATGTAATATTCAAGATATGAAAGTAAACAATTAATAGCACAATTGTAACAGAGATAAGGGAAGAGAAATTGCAAACAATGACTTGGCGATTTTAGCGAGGTTCGGAAACTCCTACTTCTCAGCTCAAGACCCCTCTTGAGACTTCCCAATCCACTATGGCTTCTCCTTACGGGTGGAGAGCAAACCTTTACATGAAGCAACTCCTTGCTTCTCTTTCGTACTAGGAGAACACCCTTCTCCTAAGCTTCTTTTGGGTCACACCAACCTTTACAAGTTTGTAGTTGAAATACAAGATTGAATCTCTCTCAAGATAGATATACAAATTTAGCTCTCAACTAGAGTATATATGAATATCAATGAAGCTCAAACTCTATGAATGAGAGAAGATGAAATATGTGAAGAATGAAAGCTCTTATGAACTCAATAGGATCTCTCAAGTATAGAATAGAGCAAAAGCTCTTCGAATCCTTAGTTAAATCTCTCAAGTATAGTATATGAATGAATGAGAGAGATGGAGAGAAAATATGAGAACAAAAGCTCTCTTTGATGCTTAATGAGGTCTCTCAAGTGTTGGCTCCCTTGCATACCCGCAATGTCCTTACATTGTGTATTTATAGGCCCTTGGAAGAATATAGCCGTTTGGGGGCATTATGGTAAGTTCCCAGGAAGTTAGATGGTTGAAATAGCCGTTGGGAAGCTTCAGCCCATTCATCTAACCGGTTAGAAGGCTTAAACTACTCGAGTAGATGAAATCTAGATCTCGTCTAACCGGTTAGAGGATTTTTCCTAACCGGTTACATCTGCTAAGGGACTTCTGTAGTTAAGGCCAACTATTCGAACACAAGAGGCTTCCTAACCGGTTACATCAAAGGCCAAGAAAAATCATATTCTGTTCCTAACCGGTTATATAGCTTCTTCTAACCGGTTACATCATTGGCAAAGAAAAATCATATTCTGTTTAAGTACATGTAAACGGTTACCTGAGTTCTCCTAACCGGTTAGGAGAAGGTAGATACAATTTCTAGTATGTTGATCTAAACGGTTTGAACAATTCTTCTAACCGGTTACAAGGTGCGGATAAGAAGATCAAGCTTTCTGTTTTGTTCATCTAAACGGTTAGATGAAATTTCCTAACCGGTTATGAGATGGCTTTGATCATGTTGCTTTCTGTTTAGCTCATCTAAACGGTTAGAAGAAACTTCCTAACCGGTTATATGGTCATCAGATTTTAGGGACAGTGTGTCAGACAGTTCAACTGGACAGTTTTTCTACAGGACTTCTGCATACACTGTCCATTTACTTTAAGTTTACAATGTAAATAAGGAAGTACTCCCTATTTGGATTCAATAAAAAATACTAGAAAATTGAAATCCAACTAAATCAAAATGTAGAAATTCAGTTTTAGTACAAATTTGGATTTCCGACAGTTTTGGTAAAAATGAATCCGTATGTAGACCAATGTAGACTTGGTAAAAAATTCTGATAAAATCAGTTTAGGCTAGTTGAAGTATAAAGAGTTATTACCGGGAAAAATTATTTTGAAACAATCATTATTTCAAAAATCCATTTTTCACACTTAGCCAAAAACACAGTTTTTCATGACGCGCATTCTGGGGTCCTAATGTCCGTTACCAACTGATGGTAATGAAGGGTTCTCATGCCTTAATTGTTGACCAATATAAATTATATGATTGATGTGCATGGTCTTAGCATTTTTAGCACAAGTGATGAGTTCTTTCAAAGCTTAAGCAAAGCTTGAACTAACTCATTCTTTAGCAATGACTCCATATGTCAATTATATATGAATGAAGTGCATAGTCTATTGCTAATGGATATAGAAGCATATGAATGATGATATGATATGTATGGTCCTATAGAGATAAGCTTCAAATAGATTCATAAATACTTTGACATTGAATCCTAAACACTCACCATCTTATCTACCCCTTTCTTCATGCTTTGTCCATGATCGTGTAGGCTTTTAGGTAGACTTGCTTCTTCCTTTCTTTGGGTTGCTTTTTTGCTCGTTGTAGTCCAAGCTATCTTTGGATGGACTTTGCATTTGGTTCTTTGCAACTTCATGTCTTCTTTGTATCCATTGCTTTCCTTGATGTGATCTTGAATAATGGAATACTTGGAATGATCTTTCGTGCTTCATTGAGGTCATCCTTTGAATGTGAATAATCTATAACACTCAATGTAAACATTAGTCCTTAAACACCATTAATGGTTTGTTATCATCAAAACCTCTAGATTGTCCTTGGATGAAATCTTTAAGGTCAACAACATGTTCACTCCTAATACGTGTCAACACCAACAAAACATTTATGCAATAGTGCAAGCATCTTCACCTGATACACTACTCTGGCCAGTAGGAAATTATGCCCTCACCAGATTACTAACATACAATACCTGAAAACCATTCATGTTATTCCCAGTGAATTGACTTGCAACATTGTAGAATTATTGAAATCTTGTGACCGTAACAATAATATCAATAAAAGCATTAAAAAACATAAACATTCAATGCTGATGACCATTGCCTTCAAACTTGTCCAAATTTTGGGAATGAGCTTATGATAGTAGTTACAAGAAACCATTCCAACGGTTCATGACGGTGAATGATTTGAGTATGAGCTTAAAATGTTGGCGGTAAATTGATTGGGCTTGTAGCATATTATTGATTTGTTTATTGGTTTTTTCACATCTGGCGACCTTTGTGTTCTATGCCCCCCATCATCATACATTGAAACAAGAAGTTGATCCTTTATAAAGGGCAATCGTGATATCTCTCAGCCTTGACATAGAGGAGATTGCTCCCAATCGAGATCTTGGGAGAGCCGGAGAGGACACACTCTCAGGCTTAGTGCAGTAGTTCTTTTTCTTTTTATTAATAATAGAGTGACAGTAATTTTTTCTTGAAAATGATCAAGTTTTGTGGAAACTAAAATTCTGATGTCCATGGGATGAATCTTTTCGGCTTAGCTTAAATATTTTTATAAGGTGATGATTCTGAACTTTAGCTTTTTATGACGTTCACATTAACAATGTAAAAATGAATCAAGGATCAAGGAAGAGACAAGTGAAAAAAGGCCACGAAATTTTGCTACAACATCATTGTTATTTCTTCTCTCCGAGTACTATAAAGGACTTCGTGGTACCATGGTTTATGCAGTCCCCACCTTCACCATGGGGAACCTGATTCACCTGAAGGCTCTCCGCTCAGGCTCAATGCTAGATCATTGATTATTTTCTTATTTGTTGGTTAAAATATTTGTAGAGAAATTGCCACAGAGTAGATGGGAGAAATACGTTTGGACTGCTCAAACAGTTAGGCCCCTTTGTGGTTGCAATTAAAATAATAATGTATTCTTATTTATATTTAAATTTTATTTATAAAGTTATTATTCTTGTAGCATCTGTCATGTTTTTTATGAGCTCGATCTGGGGTCTTCATCCTGTCAATTAGTTTGTTTATGGTTAGTGATAATTTGTTGGAGACATTGGTTAGAGTGAATATCAATGGTCTTTTATTTCTTAAAATGTTGTCACATTTCTCATGGATCGCATAAACTTCTTTGGTTGTGAACCTAGTATATTAGCTGCCACAATAATGTTTTTACTGATTTTG